TCTAGTACCAAGCTAATGGATAAATATCTAAAAAAAGCACTTTTGAAAACGTCACGATGATAATTCCTATTACATTTGCACATTGATAAATTCAAATATTAAAATTGGACACAGAATCGCACATTTCATGCATAAACTTATTTTCATACTTTTTTTTAGCCAGGCGCAAGCGAAAAGTCGCCAAAAAATACAGACCTGTGCCAACTTTTCGTTAAATTTTTGCTACTTCATTTTTTTTTAAACACTGAAGAAAATTAATGTTCACAAAAAAATAAATAAAACAAAAAAGTTAAAATAAATATTCGATTTTCTGTGCGCTCGGCTAGCCGAAAAGCAGTCTTATCTTTTTCAGGCAAATTACATATTAGAACTCTTAAAACACTTGATCAGGACAAATATTTTAATTAAAAAGATGCAGAATTATTTTCCTCTATTATACAATTTTCAACTTTTTGATATTTGGTATACTTTAACAACCAACTACATAGATTAAAGTCATGCAACCTATTTTAACTAACATATGTAAAAAAGGTATTCGTGAAAAGACTTTATTTATTTATTCATTATTTGTTTATTTTATTTATTCCCGTTATGGCTCTGACTTTATTTTTTAATGCAGTTGTAAAAATATTATCTAAACCATGGATTACTTTTTTTATAACTTTATTGACTTACAATGCAAAGCTTTTCTTCTTAATTTAATAGTTTGAAAATGTTATAAAACCCTTTTTATGTGCAACATAAATAAGTTTAATACTATTTTATGATTTCGTTATCCACTCTAAGCTAGAAATTAATAAACTATTCAAATGCATCTGATTTCGAAATAATTAACGCAATACAGAGTCATAAATACAGTTTCTAATAAACATGAAGCCACATTCTGCTATCTATGTTTATCATGCAATAAACATGATATAAATTTATAATGCATTTCCGTTCAATATATGCGTTGAAATTCCTAATAACGGTAAACAATTGGCGAAGCATATTTATGAAAATTACTATGAACTCGAGAGATATTGTTCATACAAAATGTCTGTGATATTTCCTAGCATGTTTCTATTGCTATTAAAGCTCACCAATAGTTGAGTGCCAATAAAGTTGGGTTTGAATTGCTGACTCTATATGAAATGAAAGGCACTGTATTCGATAGTTTTGTAGGGCTTTACATAGTTTGGGATGTTATTTTGGTTATTGATCATAAAATATATACCAAAATACGCTTTAGAATATTTAGATTGATATTTTTACTAACAATGGGATGGGAGTATACTTTAGAATTATAAAGATGAGAAAAACAAAATATCATTAAAACGTAATTTTCTTGGTACAATGAAAGGGTTTCTTAAGATACGAGCAGCACAAAATATTTTTGAGAATGCTCAGAAATATGTATACAGAGTAAAAAGATATAACCAAACACTATTAAACACTTAGATATTATGATCCTTTTTTTCCGTTCTTAGAAGAAATCTTTGATTATGATCTTAATATGGTAATTCATAATGCTAATGTTGCCGACCAGGTGGGCTCAGGGTATGGGTGTTTCTTTCTCTCTGTGTTCTATATCCTTTCTCCTTTGTGTGTGATTTTATTTTAATTTTATTTTATGACAGCCGTTGAACAGCCGACCCAATTTTTGGGTTTGCGACCACTAATGTTCAACGCCGTAGCCTTGTAATTTTGAACCAATCCAGAAGACAAAGAAACTCCTGGATCAGTACCCCCAGAGGTTCTTTGTGTGTGATTGTGTGAATGTGACCAGCCCTATAAACTGGTTTGTGGTTGAGTGGCGTGAGCGACACTGATCCATTGCCTTGGCTTCGCCACAGGTGCCCACTGGGTAACGAGAAGAGAGTAGCAGCTCTGGCACTCCTGGCCAATGGGACAATGCATCCCAAGTGCCCGCCGTTAAAAAAAAATGCTAATGGTTACTTGAGTCACGAAAACGGACACTAAAGCGTATTTACATTAAATTAATATGGCGTCAAGGATATCAGTTTTGGTGACCATATATTTCCTTTCTGCATTAGAAACATAATTTCAGATGAGTTTGATGAGAACAATGCATTTTGTGAGAACACGCCTACGCTGCGCCGCTTCACTCTTCGCAATCAAGAGCAAGATAATCTGACATAAAGTACAGTTTAAAAAATTTGTTCCATCAAACATCATAATTAGAAAATACGTGTACTAGATTCTGAGAAAGTGTACTATAAAAAATTATTTTTGCTTGGCAGGCTAATTTTTTTCCTTCAGAAATCAATTGACTGAACAACTAATGCGCATAGTACTTTGTTTGTAAGCACATAATTCAAAAAAATAAATCAAATAATTAAGTTACTACATTTGTGGTACTTAATCCAGTTTTTCTGTTTTTGTAGTTGTTGCAAATTCTTCGTGATCCAACAGCACCAGCTAGATCAAATTCATGGGTCAGTGAATCCTGGCGAAATCAAGCACTTAGTGCGAATTCAAGGATAAGACTTAAAGTACTAGGTTCATACTAGCTAGAATGTGAGCGGGAGAGGTCGGATTAAAGAGGCTGTAATTTTTATAGCAGTGGACCTGTTCTCATATTGCCTTATTAGTTCGAACATTCAGTAGCATTTACATTTCGTCCAAATTGTAGTAATAAATGTCATTTTTGTAATAATTTTTATATTGACGAAGTTTGTTTCAGAATGAAAAGAAAGCGTGCAATAGTTGCCTATAAAGACAAAGAGCTCAAGTCAGATCTATTTTTTCTTTCAACAAGTCAAAAATAACGACAAAAAGACGAATTAATGAAGACAGCATTACCAGCCATTTTTTTCATATTTTTGGAATGATTGAACGATTACCTAATATATTTCTTTTTATCTGAAAATATTTCTCGATAATTTATTCAAGTTCAGTTTAGAAATCATCTGTTTATCCATTTTTCCCCTCTATTATTTGAATAGTACTCGGTAGTGTGCGTCACAGTAATAGGGAAACGATTTTGAGTGAGAGCGGTACTGCTCACATGCCCCTAACGCTGAGTGCTAAAATTATTAAAATTATTAATAAAATCTATTAGTTTCATCAAAGAGTTTTATATAATGAATGTAGCTGTCATTTTTCGCAATTTAATGTCAACTAGAGCGATCCGTAGCTAATTCTTCCGACTTTCTTCAGCTAGTATGCGTACGCAAAACTTATTTTCAGTTTTTCGAACACCATGCTTCCTAATATAGAAATCGCGGAAAGGTGTCTGTTCTCCGCTTTTGCCCATTTTATCTCGACTTAATCTATTAAAACTGTCTTTAAGGAATTATTAAATTTAAAATCTGAGAGCAATCACTGAGAACTATGAGTTGTTTGTAAATAGTTCAGGACGGGCAGGAATAACAAAACTAACCAGCCAATTTTTTACAGCTTGGTTTCCCCCATTCGCGATCGCAACGAACTATAGGGGGTGTTGTTGTATGACACTAATACCTGCGATTTCTATATGAGTAGTCATTCAGTTGCTCTGGAGATGTTTATGTCACGTGTAGCATTGTAACGTTCCTTTTTTATTGTAGCTTATTAAATTAAAAAAAATATATTTGATATTCTTTCTTATGTAAGCGAAAACAAAATGGAATCTCTCTTTTTAGAGAAGGAACATCCAAAACACATCAGAAAAATATTTGTAAATAAACAGGAAAAAAATATGTATCTTCTTATAAGAGTTATAACCTAATGCCTGAAAAATAGTTTTACTAAATTTAATAATATAGCATGAAAGGCTTATTTAAGCTTTACATTCCATAGTCTTGAGAATCATATTATTTCAAACATTAAAATAAGCAAAAAGTATACGTAAGCCCATAATTTTATATAATTTAATTTTGCAAAAAAACTTTTGACAACAATTTTCATCAAAAAAATTTAAGTTTCAATAAAAATTATTATTTAGAAACTAAAAAACGTAAAATAAAGAATTCCTACGAAACAAAAAGAAAACAAAAAAAACAATTCTAAAATTTCCTCAAATTAAAATAATAAACTTTCTTGTTTTTTTTATTCATAATCGGACGTAGAGAACCATTCTTTAGAAAATTATCATCAAATAAGAAAAACAATTATTTACAAGTAAAATTTTTTATTATAAAAATTATAACACTTACCTGATTTATAAATCCAGATAATTCCAATATGATATTTTCTTCGTTTGAAAACTTTATTCTCAAATATTATATACATAGATTGTCCCTTCATTACTTTAAGATGACATACCACACAGTAAAATTTTATAATTGCAAGATCTCGATATGAATTTAAATATGTAACTTAGAAACAGAATAGCTGAATTCTAGTTGAAATTTATCATTCAAAATAAAAAAATACCTCCCAAGAAAACGATAAAAATTTAATAATAATCAACATAAATGATATTATTTCAAGTAATTCGGATGATTCTTTATCGTTGTTTTCCGAATTACATAGATTCAGAAATATATACTATTTTATAACTAATACAGTTCTGCATGTACTGAAATTACATTTATTCATTGGAATGAAGTAAGCAATGTTGACTTCACTTTAACTTGTTATGAATTGGAGAAAAAAACAATGTATTTTTACAGTAATACTCTCATCTGTAACAGTATGGAATTTTTGGGTTACAAGTTTGCTGATAATAGAAAGGTAAAAATTATTGAGAAATTTCTTCAAATGTTGGGCGCGTTCCGTTTCTAAAAGATTAGAAAGATAAAGAAAGATAAAGAAAGAATGTACTGAGTCGTTTTTTCAAGTTCTTCTGCCTTTTCCTTAGGGAAATTTTGCTTCTTATTTACTGCTAAGAAAATGGCGTCAGACTTAGCCAATGATTATGATGGAACTAAATGCCTGATATTTTCAGGCCTCCGCTAGAGGGCATACTCAAGCGTTGCGATCGCGAATATTAAAATGTAGATGCATTTTGTAGAACAAACGTCACGTAAATTATATCCCTTAATTTTTGCTTTCTTTTTTCACGTGATGTTTAAAATAAGTTTATCATATCACGAGATCTTTTAATATTTTTGAAATTTCGTTAAAAACATTTGGAAACAAACAATTCTGTTGCTGTTTATCAATTTGATTGTTCTCCAGTAAGTATTAAAAATATTTTGATCAAAAATGTTTCATTTCCTGGTAATTTTCTTAAAAATAATAATTATATTATTATTATAATTTTATTATTAGTTATAAAAATGAGATCTGTTGTTAGATTTTTGCAGAATTTTTTCGTTACATCCATCCGTTTATTAAAACGTACCAAAATGTTTCATGCAACAGAATATTTGCTTTTAAAATATATTAAAGTAATACATCGAACTTATATTAGATTTCAGTTGTAAGAAATATGGCTCGAGTATAAAAATTAGTGTTTTTAAAATTGTTGTAAAAAATTGACAATAGAATGGATGTCATTAATGCGTTTATTTCAACTTTTTAAATAAAATTCTGGTTAATTATTTAACACTTTTTCTGTTAGTTTAAAGAAACATGTTTGCGCATAATGTTACGCTATTTGTTTTATTGCTCCTTACTGATAATTATAAATTTTGTGTTAAATAAGTGCAGTATTACCTAAGTGAACACTAAATCAGGCACAACTTTTTTTTAAAATGGCCATTTATTGTAAACGTAAAGTTTTGTTGTTTGCTTTCTCATTTTAAACATTAGGGAAAGATATTTCGTCTATCAAACATACTTGCATAAATTAATATTCTTGTAAGATGAGCAATGCCATAAAAACATTGCTTTAATATTACGTTGTGAGAGTTTCTTTTTACAAGATCTCGTTTGCTATTTGCTATTTCTATAAATCATCGCATTTTTTCCCAATTTTTATAATGTTGTTACGATTAACATTCACCATGATGGGTGTTTATGTTACTAACTAAGTTATGATAAATATTAATGATGAAAAAATTTTGCCGAACACTTTTGTGAATAGTACCAAAGTAGCTACCATACATTTTTCTGAAAACAGCTTCCTGAGATTCCATAGATATTTTGAAGAAATATCCCTAAATGACCCCAACATTTTTTTTCCCTTATTGTAAATTCTTTATGCCATGCTTCAGAGTTACGTAAGGTAATAGTTTACAATCTGAGGCCCCTCTCATTTTTGTTGATTTGCAAAAAAAAAAAAAAAAAATGCATATGTAAATAAACCAAGGACCAATTACATAAAGATAAACAAAAGTTGCAGTAACCAGAAGCTGACGTCATTGAAAGCGAAGTCAGCAAATTATATCATGGTAACCAGAAATGGGATATCAGCAAAACTGAACGAAATTTATCGCTAAACCAAGGGGTTCCAGATTCTAAACTGGAGCCCAACATAATATTTGGTTACTCATAAAAATAATTTTAAAACTTTCTGAAATAACATGAAATTTATTGTTTTTTTCCCGCAATGTGATGATCTGTGGCGCCAGTTTCAATTACCAAGGCGCCAAATGGATTTTAAAGCTTGAAAATTAAAAAAATCAAAAACAACTACAGCTTTTCTTATGGGATGGCTATGAGTTACGAGTTATGTACTTTGAATTGTTCCTCTGTGATGTTGGCTTTTAGTTTCTTACTGGCAACTGCACGAAAGTTTTTAAAACTTAGCGATTACATCGCAATATAGAAATCTTCCCCATTTATTTTTACCATTGGTGAGAAGAAAATTTTCTACGTCATGGGATCACTTTCGGCTAAAATTTGGGGTTGGTTATTGTAAAAATGCTAAAGGGTCACTACTTTTTCGTGTTTATTTATTTTCGAAAAATAATTGTTAAATTTGCATGAAAAACAATAAACTAACTCAAAAAACCATCTCATACCAGTCAGATTCCCCAGAGAGAAGATTTGAAAGTTTTTTTCGAATCATAAGAAGAATGAAATCCTTGTAGAAATTGCATTTATGAGTAATTTGAGTAATTATGAGTTGTGGATATTATTTGGGAATAAATTCTTTTTATGTTCTTCATTTTTAGCTTTATTTTTATAGATCCAATGGTTGTTGAAAAATTATTCATGCAAATAATACACTAAAAGTAGATATATTCCTTTTTTTTACATCTTACATCTTACATTTATAAACATTATTTCAAGCTTGAATCATTTAATTTGCGAAAATTTCATTTCATTATTACAGTAATTTTCGACAAAAGGATTTTACTTCAATAGTAATTAACAACATCCCAAACAGAGGAAAGTATGCTTCGAACATGTGTTTCATGGGTAGATTAAATATTAAGATAAAGGTTTTTAATATTTAATGAGCCCATAGTTTATTTTGAATAGCGAGTATAGCCACTTTGAGCATAGGCATACACTAATTTTTCACCGGTAGTTCGTGTCTGGATCCGAATCATGATTGGTATAAGCTTTGTTATGCGAATAAAAACATAAAAGATATTTACTATGTACTTCTTAGTTTTTTAAAAATTATACTTTTATTCTAATTTATTACACTGTTTTTCAATCTAAGACGATAATTAGAAACCAATTCTTTACTGCCTCAAGAAGTAACTTGATGTGTTGCTAAGTAGAATATGGTTGGTACCAAAATTTTTTTATATCCAAATTTTGTATCATTCTTTTGCAAACCTTAGTTATTTATAAGATTTTAAAAACTGATAATCTTCATAATGATTTTGCCAACCTGGTGTACGTTTGGCTTAAAAATTCAAACTTTATTTTCTCACGTTGCTCAGGTAAATACTGTTGCTAGAATAAAATAAGGCTCCTATACTATCAGAGCTGACCTATCAAGCAGTATTGCAGCAAACAAGTTCGCAAGTTAATGTTATGTTAGTATTAGTTATGTTATGTGATTATGTTAGCTCTTTGCACCAAAAATAAATGATAAGTCGGCCTGTCTAATTCAGGGGCTCTAGAATAAAACAATTCTTAAATAAATACTTCAATGATAACTTTTGATGGTTGTAGACTTTTTGGTCATTATCCAAATTGTATTGTCTGTAATTTTTTTTTAGCAAAAATGATTTTAAGAATGCCATTCAAAGAACGTGGTAAAAAATGAAAATTATCATTTTAAAAGTTTTTTTTATTGTATTTATCACACATAAATACTTTTCTGGTATGGTTTCGGAGAGAGTATAGTGATGCAGTACTCCTTCCACAGAAGTATTTTTCAAAAATATTTTTTGAGTAGTGCACTCAAATAGATGTATTTTACCTTAATCGTGTTGCATAATCAAATATAATTGCTACTTTAATTGTATTTTAAAAATATAAACGTGTGTTTTTTTTAAGTTAATAGAAAATAATCTAAAAAAGAAGAGTGTCACAAAAATGAGCTTCATGCTGTTTCAAATATGTCATTATGAAAAGCAATAGAATATCTTATTGGAACAAGAATAAAGTTCAAGAGCCAAAAGCATTCTGTTTAGCCCCCCATTTCTAAACTAGATCCGTGTAATTTAATTTTTACCATTAAAATTTCAAATTAGTTGGTTTTCTTTAAAATTCACAAGTTTGCATATTAATACTCTCGGTGCTGCCATCTAGTGTGGCAGAAACTAGACGTCCAAGTTAACATGACCAACGGTATCTCACCCATTGTGGTGGTCCTGAAAGAGTGGATACCACTTCTGACGGACGTACTAGGTCTGCTCATCGGGAAGACTGATTGTGCAGCTCATAGGAAACATATTAATATACCTTTACGCCATATTAATTTAACTTTCAGTATCGCTTCCATGTTATAATGTTAGGAGACGCTTAGTGCTTAAATGACAGTGGCTGAAAATTGAAATGAATTTATTTACTTTTTAGACTCAGAACTGAGAATTGAATTCTTCTGAAATGAAAAGTGAAACATATACATCTGTTTTACCTGTTTTGTATGCTGATACTCAAGGACAACAGGAAACCGATGTTATATCTACATTAGCAAACGCTAATAGCGTTCTCTATCAAGAATCTAGCTGGCCTCAGATTATCTCTTCTGAGCCCGAACCCCTTATTCCATGCATTTTATATCAGTGTCCTTTATTTCAAGTGTCATGTGAGCAGATTCAAAGCCTCATCAGTATTTGCCATCCTACAATGACAGTCAATACGTATGAAAATATCAGCTTTGTCGCAGAATATAATCCAAGTGCATTCAGCTTAATGGATTCCCCCATAATGTCTACTTCTGGATTCAGTGAAGGGTGCTTGCAAGAAGTTTATACCAGAGAGGAGATTTCAAGCTCAACCATACAGGAACTGCAGAAGGAAATTACTGATTCATATCCTATAGTAACTAATTATGGCGCTGTATCAATATTGCTAGGACATCTTGTGAGGGTTGATATATCTCCAGAGAAAGCTATATACATGAGTGTAGCGCCTGTGGAAGGCGTCGTTGCCGTGAGTGCAGATGGAAGCAAGAGTTGCATCATCCATCCAAATGGTAGAGTGTTTCATGATAGAGATGAAGTTCACATGGCGACATTGAACCGAAAAGCCAAGATTTGCAAAAGAGGTGTCGTATTTACTTCTACTGACCACTGTCTATCGTATTTGGTTGATGAATCTGGAACTAAAACAACAGCAGAACGGTTTAGAGATTTGAGTCAAGACTTTAGTTTCCAGGTATTTTACAACGAGAGCCAACTTAATGAATCGATCCAAAAATGCTTTGATATGGTAGATAAAGCTACCCATAAGAAATATAAAAACGGTGATGAGATTTGGATGATAGATGATTATCGAATTAAGCAAGATCAGTGGGGAGATGTTAAAATCACCCATGTGAAAGATCCTAGAGTTATCAAAGCTTCGCCAACAAATGGACAGCTGTCAGTAAAAACTAGAATGGCTGATATGAACGTTGGACGCTATCCAAATAATTATTTATTGGTACGTAAAAAATCAAAAGTTGTGTCTGCCAGTGTCAAAGGTTTCAATGCTCAATGTGGAACTCAAAGAGCTGGTTTCAACAGCACTGGAAAAGTAGTACTTCATTAAGTGTGATTTTGAAAGGAGTGATATTATAGTAGACTCTTATTTATGACAAATATATGCTAACTCTGATAAAATGTGCTAGAAAAGCCATCTAAACTTGAAGGAATATTGCATGAAGCAGTTATTTATAATTAGATAAGTTTTTCGTGATTTTGATATCATCAATACTTAATATTGCCAGGCAAAGTTTTAGCCACACAATCATAACATTATGCTGCCTGATTTTAGTTAATAATTGAACTTTTCAATTAAATAGTTGTAATGTGACTCATTTATTGAACGAGAAATTTTATATTGTCTTAATCAACAACAACCAATTTTTTAATATAATTTAATCGTAAAGATAAGCAAAACTGTTACAATCAGAAGGTTAATATTTATTTGTAAAACGCAATTAATGTATTTTTACTTTATTATAAAAGTTTCAAAGAAGAATATGAAATTGAGGTTGTCTTAAACAAAGTTTAATGTAAGAGAAAATGCAGCTAAGGCACTATTATTTCCGAAAAGATATCTTGAAGCGGAAAAAAAATATTGTTTTTATAATGGTGATATTGTCCAAAAAGTTCCATAATCAGCTAGTTTTTCTTAATTGGTTTAACTAAACCAGACTAAATAAGGTATTTCATTGGAAAAATTCGTTTTCTGCTTTTTCCAATCTTTACAACTAACCCCCCAATATTTTATAATAATTTTTGAATTTATTGCTGATTGAAAAAAAAAAGCTTTTATAGTTTTGAAATAAGAACAAGAGAAAAATATAACTCAAAAGCATTTATGATTTTTTTTCTGCTCAAAAAAAATACAGTTATCTCTTGTAAAGTATTTATTGCTGGGTCATGAAGTTTATACAAAAGTGTGAGTTTCATTTCAAGAGTGAGAATATTTATTCTTTTTGAATTACATTTTTTCTAATTTATGTTTTGTTTTGTTGGAAATATTGTACATCAAGCACCACTTTTTAAAATGTATTACGGCACTTATAAATACAACGTGTTTGTGTCTTGTTACTTGATTACCTTTTGTGATATAATTTATGGAAAATAAAGTGCAAATGTTGAATGTAAATTTTTGTCTGTCTATTTGAGTCTTTTTATGTCGCATAAATGATATAAAAATATAACAAATAATATTGAAACATAACAAATAGTAAATTTTTTAAAAAAAAAACTCAAATTCTTTAGAAAAACCAAGCGGAACCTCAACTCTGAAGGCAATCCGGAGTTGCCGATAGGGTTGTTCAATTGTTCAAACGGTTGCTCTAAAGTGGTTACCATTTTTGTTATTTATCTTAACTTTTGGCTCATATTTTTTTTTTCGTGTGATGCGTTAAATGGAGTGACTAATATTATAAAAGTTATATATGTTTTATGTATAAAAGTACAGTTTTTTATTTAAACCTATTTACGTATCCAACATTGCTAACTAGGCAAGTGAGGTACCGTTAACTATGCATATCATTACGCTAAATCGAATGAGAATAAAATCAAGCTGTCTGATTTAATAGTTTAGCAGTTCGAAAATTTATAAAGATTTCATGTGTAAAAAGCACAATTTTTTTGACTTTCACTTATACCACTTTATGCAACGGACATTGCTATCTAGACAAGAGAAGAATTTCTTCAGATTTAATTTTTTGTGCTTTATCGAAATAGTTGTTTGGAAGAAATGGGGGTTTAATGTATGAAATATAAATTTTTTTCCTTACCATTTACTCATAAAACATTTATAGCATTAAAACTATCAGATCTATCTAATCAATTGTAATTTTTTTTTTAACTTCTTACCACGCGTGTTTTCTCTGAATTTTCTAACTTGCTTTAAAATAAGCGTTTCAAAAATTAAGAGAATTGTTAGAGAAAAATAAAATAATTATTTCACAAATAAAAAAAATAATTTTTTCAAATAATCGAACGCATGCCTTTACCGACAGAAATAAAGATTAAAATTTAAAAATAAAGAAATGCACTCTCTATTATTACAATTTTTGTTGCATTGCAATTATAATAATAATGTAAAAAAGTTTAGCGAGTTGTTTGGCGAATATTTTAATATGAAGTTTCTCGCCAGAAAAATACGTCATCTATATAAATTCAGAAATTATTTCTATCCAAAGTAATCTAAGTTTTGATTGGAACAAATTTTAAAAATAAGTTTTAATTTTATTAGTTCGAAACGAATAAATGTTTCTAAAAGAAAATTTAACTAGAAAATAGTTTACGCTCATCGGTACCGCAGGTATTGTTATGGTTCATCAACTGCATTTAAACTGCTTTCTAATCATATGAAAGTGTTTTAGATTTTGAAATTTAAAGAAGAAATGTTATTTTTTCACTCGATAATTGTTGTGCATCAGCAATGAAAAATTTCATCCGATCATTCTCTCCATCTCCGGTGACGCCATTTTTTTTTACATTTGCGAACATCATCGCATGAAATTAAAATGACGTGAAAAGCAAACGATCTGATTGGTTTAAGTGTAAGTTGCTTTTATTTATAGGCAATTTTTCTTTCAACAGACAGAAACAGTTGCTGATATTTCGGGCAACTGTGATTTCTACATCTCACGAGTATTTACGAGCAATTTTTGTAGAAAGTGATGGATAGGATTGCGCTTACGGGTGACTTGCCGGTTTCGTTGCCGGTAATTTTCATCGTTTGATATACCAATCAGGTATTGGTGGAGTTTAAATTGAATGTATTTTGCTTTATTAATTTGTTGTTGTTGATATTGTAACTTTACAAAAGAGACAAAAATTAAATGACAGAGTATAGCAGTTTTGGTCGGAGAGCAATACTAACTGGCTATTGGTGACGGTCTGAGATGCACCTTTAAATGACGATCCAAGAAGAATACTGGTGCATGGGCGCATTAAACTAATACAATTTAGAATAGAAGGTAATTGGTGGTTGTTATTATTTGATCTCTGCTCCACCTCCTAGTGCCTCGAACAAACGAGACGTTTCACTGACCCAGGGGTTAACAACGTATTGAAACGGAAGGGCAAAAAGTTACAAATTACAAAATTTCTCTGTTTTTAAAGAGTCACTAAAAATTTTTGATTTTATATTATAGTATTAGCTTATATGTAATTAATTTTTGTTTTAATATAAGCGGGTTTAAATATGGAATAATATTTATTCATATTAAAACCCAAATATAGATCGTCACATCAATGAGAGCACTGGCTTTGCATGCCTTTTAAAGGTTTTATTAAATCTGGCTTATAACTTGCTGTTTTAAGTTTCAAGCACGAGTGTTAGTTGACTTCTAACTTTACTTTTTATTATATTCATGGAGCGCTTGCTTACACGAATATGTCGACCCAAAGATCGTCAACACTAGATATGCTAACTTCTTCACCTCACTGTAGCATTCTGGAAGACTATACCATGGGCCGAATATGAGAACCTCAACTCGCGAAATTTCTTTTAGAACTGTAAACTTGTGACCACTAGTCTGCGCGATGTGCAAGCATTTCTGGACCTTTAAATCTTCCTTTTTGCTCTTGAATTCTGTAAACTTGCCGCTCCACAAGTCGTTGATTTTCAAAACTATCAATTGCATTTGAAGCAATCCAGCATTGATTCCAAATGGCTCAATATTGATCTCATTTGTATTTGTGCTGAGAGCATTTACTATGAACGATCTCGTGTACTTTTGTTTTTTTGATTTGCTCGAGTCTCTCAGCAAATCCATCTTTCATGTTTTCAAAGCTATGCTGAAGTAATTCATGTCAATAGTTGCGTGGGTCTCATCGCGATATTCCTTCAAATTTTTAACATGAAGTAATTTACCTCTATGTCTTCAACCAAAAGAAGTATGTATTTTTTCGAAAACAAATTATTTTTTCTCGTAAGGTATAGGTCGGGTTATCTTTTCCGTTCAGATTTAGTTTATTTAGTTTAATTGCGGTATTAACTATGAAGTTGAATTTTTGCCGCCATTTGTCTTCTTCCAATTCGGGATGTTCAATGTTTTTTTTTATTGAGGAATGTTTTTATTTCACGAAAGCACAAAGCAAAACGTTGCAATAAGTTACCCCTGGAAAACCATCGCACTTTATTGTGCAGAAGTAGATAAAAAAAACTGGCTATCACCTTCTTCAAGGAAATCTTTGCACTGGCGATGGTAGAAAGGTTTGCCAAGATGCTGTTAATAATCTTAATTACCAAGTTCATGATCTCGATTCTTTTTAAATTTTACTTAGCTATCTAAAACAGCAAACAATTTATTTGCCATTATTACTTCCTTAACACAATCCTCAGATATGCAAACAAATTCTTTTTCCGATTTTATTATATTATACGCGTACATACCTTTGAGAAGACAATTTGCTTCTAAATCGTATTCTTCTTTAAACACCAAGCGAATGATTTAGTGAGATTACCAAGTTACTTAATTCAATGATTGCCAAATGTGTTGCAAACTTAATAAGGTACCAAATTGAAGCTTGTTATTTTATAAACTAACCCTTTTTAAACTTCATAGCACTAAACAGTGGTTAAACCTAATCGGAAGCATAGTTCAATTTAACGTAGTAATAATAAAGCTAAACAAAGCAAATAAAGAACAAATAGTGGTTCTAAATTAAGGGCTTCATTTTTATTTCTTTTTCATGCATTATTCCTTTTGTTTAGCCTTATTCATATGTAACGCAAAGTAAATCATATCTTTGTTTTCGCATCTTTAAGATTCGCAATGACTTTGTATGATATTATAAAATAAGGTACCCTTACAATGTTGAACGAAGTTTTTTGAAAGTGACCTCATAAATTTGAATAAGATACTTGGGTTGACATCATTTTACACGACAACTTATTTGAAAAGTGAATATAAGGTTAAACTTGGAACGTAAGCAAGATTATACAAAGTGGAGACCATAGATTTATAAAACACTGACATCTTAATTGTTCTGTACATAATATCTGAAATGATACATCATTTTTTAAAGTTTTGTCCATTTAGAAACAAAGTTTTTAAACGAAAATCAAATAAATGATGTTAATTTTCTAATTAAATTACATTTAATAAGCGTGATTGAAAACAAGCATAAATTGAGACCAAAAGGTTTTTCAAAGACCTATTTTCAATTTTTGTATTACATTTAATTTGGTATTTTACAAAAATAAAAGAGCATCGTAAATGTCCAAATGTAATAAGCTGAAATAATAAAAACTTTTTAGGGGAAATATTTCTCTTTCCATATTAATGCGAGCCATAAAGTTTTTAACTTATTATTTACGAGTAGATCTCATTTAATTGATTAGGTACCAATGCACTTTAGTGAGTTGATCGTCCATTTTAATGAGATTTTCTTGAGTTACAAGTTTTGTAATCAGTTTTATTGAAGTACAGTCAGTTTTATGAGATTCCAATAAAATGAATAATTGAAATAGAGAGAGGGCTATGCCGAGAGTTGTTTATAACCAAGATGGAAACTTGTTTTAATAGAAATGTATCGATATAATTTGCTTATTACTAGCTGAATATGCGTTCTTCGTGCTGGGTAAAAAAAACTAAATTATCAATAAATCAGTACTGAACAAGACTGCAAATTCAAGCACAAAAATAAAAGACATATACGTGCACAATTAATAAAGCTGAAATAATTCCATTTTTTTTGTTGGCTTTCCCGGGAATTTTACGTTATTAGATTAAGCAGAACTTTATTTTAGTAGTACATCTTATCCAAATAAAGATTAACTGTAATCAGCATCATTTGGTCTAATGCTGTCGCTCGAGGCCAATATCATGATGGTCAAAACTTACCACAATTTACAAAAAACTATTTCCACAGTATATTAAAGCTTTGCAGTATTCGTGCATTTTAAAAAGGTAAAAAATATAATAATATTATAATTTGTACCTGTATAAGTATATTTGGTGCATATTAAAACTGCACCTTTCACGGTAATACCAGTAGTGCCTATTACTAAAATTTTTAAAACATCATTGGTGTCGATAATAGTATGTCAAATTTTTTTACGTTTATCTAAAGCGAAATAGTACCATTTCTCCATTAATTTTTGTTTCAGTACGTAACT